CTATTTTAGGACTAGAAGGGCTAGGGGAGACATGATAGCAGCAATATCTTGGGGCCTGCCACAAAGAATAGAGAGTCAAACTATTATCCAAAGCACCGGAGGGTAGAACAAGAAGCAATGGGGGGAAACTAATCAAGGAGAGAAGCAACTTAGAACTGAGGAGAAATTTCCTGACAGTTAGAACAATTAATCAGTGGAACATCTTGTCTCCAGAAGTTGTGAATGCCCCAATACTGGAAGTCTTTAAGATGTTGGATAGCCATTTGTCTGAAAAGGTATAGGGTTTCCTGCCTAGGCAGGGGGTTGGACTAGAAGACCTCCAAGGTCCCTTCCAACTCTGCTATTGTATTGTATTGTATAACCGCATTGAAAAAAAATGAGATGACTATTTTTCACTTTATGACTGTTGCAGCATTTCCATGGTCATATGATCAAAATTCAGACACTTGTAAAGTGACCCATATTTATGACAGCTGCAGTGTCCTGGGATCACATGGTCATCTTTTGACACCTTCTCACAAGCAAAGTCAACGGAGGAGCAAGATTCACTTAACAATTGTGTGACTAATTTAACAACTGCACTGATTCATTTAACAACTGTGGCAGGAAAAGTAAAACAGGGCAAAATTCAAATTATTACTTAGCAATAACAAAAAATGGCCTGTATTGTAAGCCCAAAGGACTACCTATATTCATTGTTATTTAAAAAATTGGTATATTTGATGTTAAAAGCGCTTCTCATGATTTTTTGATGAGATTTCAATATTGTATTATTTTTTCAACATAGGCTGAGCGGATAATTTTGACTTTGCAGATCCCTGAAAATGTTTTGGGGGAAAATTGAGGGGTCCTTGGACATTCCAAGCAAGAGAAGTCTTCTGAATACCAACTTTTTTTCTTATTATGTGTTTAATTATAAGAGCAAAATCTTTGGGCAAAGTTTGTCCCATTTTGAAACAAAAATGTTATGGTGGATATGATGAAACTTGCTGAGATGTCCAAACTGACTTTGATCAGCTGCAAGACAATTACCGGTATCTACATTTCGTGCTGATTGGAAATCCTTATAGACATTTCAAACAAAAATGAAAAAAGTGAAATTATGATATATAGTTTGATGATTAGAAAAAATATATGATTATAGCAAAAATGTTAATTATGCTACAGCTACAACCACAGAATAAGAGGCTAAGTTACTTATAATGGCTGTAAATAAAATCAGAACTGTCTTTATATTTTCTTCTTTTATGCACTTTAATCTTTGTCTTCTTTCTTTTCTTTATGCTAAATATTTTTTTTAAAAAAACCCTACCTTTTATTACTTCCTAAGCGACAAAACACGGAGAACATATTGTATTCCTTCCTCCTCCTACTTAAAATATTTAAACTACTAAATTGAAATCTTATTTACTTTTTTTAAAAATAAAAATAAATACATACATTTAAAATATTCGTTTGTTATTTTTTAATCTTAAAAAATAATGAAGTTATTAGAACTTTAGTCAAAGTTTCTCTTTATTCAAGGGGAAAAATGTTCAAATTAAATAGTTAAGTAATTCGAGGGGGGGGGGCAGGAGGAGTTCCAGGGGGTTGCAAGGCCAGGAGGGCTGCAGCGGAAGAAAGATCGGGGCCAAAGGCGCAATGATGCGGCCTCCGGGGTTCCCCATATGCCGGGACCTCTGGAAGCCGAGGGCTCGCCAGGAGGCGGCGCCCGGTCTGGAGGCGGCGGCAACGGCGCCGACCCTCCTTTTCCTCCCAGCCGGCCCGGCCTTCTCTCCGCCCTGCGCCGTTTCTACGCTCAGTCCGCGATGGCGCTGCAGGGCGTGCGGGTGCTGGAGATCGCCGGCTTGGCTCCGGCGCCTCTCTGCGGCCTGATTCTGGCCGACTTCGGGGCGCAGGTGGTGCGGGTGGACCGCTGGCCCCTTCAGCCTTTCATCTCGGACGTGCAAGGCCGCGGCAAGCGCTCCGTCGCGCTGGATCTGAAGCAGCCCCAGGGCACCGCCGCGCTGCGTAGGATGGCCCAGCGGGCGGACGTCCTGGTGGATCCCTTCCGACCAGGTGCTCCGTCGCCAGCCGGGGAGTCGGGAGGTGGGCGGCTTCCCTGCCGGAGAAGGGAGGAGGCAGCTGGTGGGATTTCAGAGCTCTCTTCAGTGTGGTCTGTGCAGGGGATCCATGCAGGTGCAGAGAACTTGCATGGACTCTGCTCTTTCAATCGGAACGGAGTTGGAAAGGGGCCTTGGAGATCTTCTAGTCCAGCCCCCTGCTCAAGCAAGAGACCCTGTACCATTTGAGACAAGTAGCTGTCCAGTCTCTCCTTAAAAACATCCAGCGATGAAGCACCCACAACATCTGAAGCTCAGCTGTTCTACTGACTCAAAGATGCTTTTTCAAGAGGCAACTGGACTTTCTTGTTTTCCTTTG